TAGTAGTAGTAGTGGTAGTGGTAGTGGTAGTGGTAGTGGTAGTGGCGGTGGCGGTGGCGGTGGCGGTGGCGGTGGCGGTGGCGGTGGCGGTAGCGGTAGCGGTGGCGGCGGCGGCAGCGGCAGTGACAGCGGTGGCGGCAGCGGCGGTGGCAGTGGTGGTAGTGGTGGTGGAGGTGGTGGTAGTGGTGGTTTGCATAGTGGAATAAGTAGTGGCAATAGTCATACCATGACTTCTCAACAACCTACATCAGGATCGCAAAATCAGGTTCATACGCAACAGCAATCCACGATTCGACATAAGGTTTGTATTATTTACTTTTTCTTTATGAGAGGGATTTTACACAAACACACAGTATAGAATAAATTTATACACTAATAAATTTATTACGCTAGGAGTTTTAACAAATTTAAAAATAAGAACGATTATTACTGTAGGTACACTCTGGTAATGTAACACCACTGGCCTCTACTCTGCCCGGCACTAATCTGGGAGGAGGAAGTGGATCTCAACAATTCCAAAGATTAAAAGTGGAAGATGCATTGTCATATCTGGATCAAGTAAAATATAAATTTAGTGATCAACCACAGGTGAGAGTAAGAGAAAAGTACAAAAGTACAATATTATTAAATAAACATACAAGATTATTAATATACAAAATTGCAGTATGAATAAATCATAAATTAGTGAATAAATAAAGAAGAAACGCTTGATATTGTTTATCGTGTAACGTGAATCTTTATATTTACAGGTGTACAATGACTTCTTAGATATCATGAAGGAATTTAAATCTCAAAGTATAGATACCCCAGGAGTTATAACCCGAGTGAGTCACCTTTTCAAAGGACATCCCGAACTCATCGTTGGTTTCAACACATTTCTCCCACCAGGCTACAAGATAGAAGTACAAGCAAATGAACAAGGATATGCCTTCCAAGTATCCGTCAGTATGCCTAGTCCGACGGCAACACATACCGCCACGTTATCGCAACATCATTGTACAGTGAATGTTGGTTCACCTCCTGTGGCTAGCCCACCCACACAGCCTGCGAAAGCACCTCCCGTTTTACAGATAATGCAAGGGTAAGCATTTTATTATAACTATATAATTAGATTACAAATTGTAACAATACAATTGTTACAAGAATAACACATACACATACACATACACACACCTACAAATATATATATATCTGTAACTGCATTTCAATTGTTTTTTTAGAACTGGTAATATACACCATACTATGGCAAACAGTATTACAACCAATAGCTTAACTGTTCATGCACCTTCTCCACCGCCCGTACCAGTGTACAATAATTCACATGTTAGTACTGCACAAGCGCAAGCTGTCAGTCAAGCTTTAAGTCAAGCGGATGGAGTGTCGACTGGTGGACAGACGCAGCAAAGTCAGCCAGTTGAATTCAATCATGCGATAAACTATGTCAATAAAATTAAGGTAGGAAATTAGTAAGAAAGGAGAGATTAGACGAATAGAAGGCAGTAAAAACGAGAAAAAACAATAAAGCATGTTACATTATTTTTAGAATCGATTCCAAGGTCAGCCAGATAAATATAAACGATTTTTGGAAATATTGCATACGTATCAGAAAGAACAGCGGAATTTAAAGGAGTCTGGCCATATGGGAGGTACGAGTTCCAGTGCGACGGGTGGAACAAAACATTTGACAGAGGCGGAAGTTTATAGTCAAGTTGCTAAATTATTTGAAAATCAAGAAGATTTGCTTGCTGAATTTGGACAATTTTTGCCAGATGCTACTAATCAACAAAGTTCGTTGGTAAGTCGCTTATTTAAAGTAAAATAGAATAGTAATTTCATTGAAATAGAATTTTATAAGGAGAATCTGAATGCAATCTGTGCATCAACAGAACTGTCCTAAAGTAGCACAATGTAGTTTTTGAACGAATACGTTTATAACAAACAAATATACGAAGGTACACATATTTATATATCGTTTCTTGTTCTATCTAAAACTCGCATAAAACTGGTAACTGAAATAGTAACTGAAGACGATAATAGAAATGGGTGCAAAAAGAGGAGCACAAATAGAAAATAATATGTACGCGCCTTTCCTATTAGATTGGTTGTATAATCGCATTTTAGATTATCATATCCGTTGCTACGTTCTTTCGATCCTCAATTGAATATTTGTACATGAGAGAAGAGAAGAGAAGAAAATACCGTCGTAATTTTTCGTTTTTATTCTTTGCTCGCAAAGAATACGATAGTATTTTCTTCTCTTCTCCTTTTCTTTTCTTTTCTTTTTATTATTATTATTATTATTATTATTCTTATTCTTATTCTTATTCTTATTCTTATTCTCTTTTTTTCTTGAAAAAGATATTTTTTTATCGTACGAAATGTAATCAGTTCTGATTTCTATGAGTTTGTCACATTTCAGACTAATAAGACGACATCGGTCAATGATCATACGGCGATCGTTAAGAAACCAACCGGACTTAAAACACCGTACAATAATTCTGGGACTATGTCGAGAGATCTTCGGGAAGCTAGCAGTACAGCTGGATTGGAACGCGATAATAGAGATCATAGAGAACGAGAACGGGAGCGAGATAGGTCAAACATAAGAGACATAAATAGCGGTCAAAAATGTGGACATAGCACGGGTCAATTGAAGAGGAGTCCATCATTCTCGACTTCAGCAACAGCTGGAAATTCTCATATACAACATGGACCACCTCCTTCGAAAAAGCATAAAGTAGCTTCAACGCGTGATATTACTATTGCAGAAGCCGGCAAATATGGCACTCTAAACGATTATGCTTTCTTTGACAAGGTGAGCGTCAAATATCATTGGTTGTCTAATTTCAAGCTCGATGCTTCTTGCGAGCAAATTTCTTTAAATAAATGCGTATTTCTCATGCGTAGGTTCGAAAAGCTCTCAGATCGCAAGAAGTCTACGAAAACTTTCTTCGATGCCTCGTGCTTTTTAATCAAGAAATACTATCGAAATCAGAGCTTGTTCAGGTGGTGACACCATTTCTCGGACGTTTTCCCGAGTTACTACGTTGGTTTAAAGACTTTCTCGGCTACTTGTCCGACTCGTCCAGTACTACGATGACAAATGCAGGAAATGCCATAGGAGTGGAGACATTTCCAAATAGCGTTGTACGTAGCCATCAAGAACGACCACAAGGTGACTTGGCGATAGAAATTGATTATACGGCATGCAAGCGATTAGGGGCGTCATATTGCGCATTGCCAAAATCATACATTCAACCAAAATGTAGTGGCAGAACACAATTGTGTAAGGAAGTTCTCAATGATACTTGGGTTTCGTTTCCAACTTGGTCAGAGGACAGCACATTTGTAACATCAAGGTAACTGAATATTTCTACTTATATGTCCCTTTTGAATATATTCTCTCTCTCTCTCTCTCTCTCTCTCTCTCTCTCGTTCTTTTTTCTCTTTCGTTCTCTCGCTACTCACTTCCTCGCAAAAAAAATGAAATATCGTTGTCAATTGTCGTTACATGAAATACATGGATATTGATTTGTTTAGAAAAACGCAATATGAAGAATCGATATATCGGTGCGAAGATGAGCGTTTCGAGTTAGATGTGGTAATAGAAACTAATGCATCAACGATTAGAGTGCTCGAGGGAGTTCATAAAAAAATGAATAGGATGAGTCAGGAGGAGATACAGAAATTTAAGCTCGATGAATGTTTGGGCGGTTCTTCCCCAACGATTCATCAACGAGCGATAAAAAGAATATACGGCGATAAGTCTGCCGATATTATAGAAGGTCTGAAAAGAAATCCTGCGGTAGCCGTGCCTGTAGTACTACGTCGATTAAAGACTAAGGAAGAGGAATGGCGGGAAGCACAGAAAGGATTTAACAAAATCTGGAGGGAACAGAACGAAAAATACTACTTGAAATCTTTGGATCATCAGGGAATTAATTTCAAACAGAACGATGTAAAGGCGTTGAGGTCTAAAAGTTTATTCAACGAGATCGAAACGTTGTACGACGAGGTTAGTATACATATTTTTAATTTTAAGTTTAGCCTTCGTCTCTTGCTCCTTCCTGGTTTTGTGTTCAACATATCAACGGCTTGTACAGAGACACGAACAAGGTGATGATGCTAACGGTGACGGTCAGGGAAATAGCGGTCCACATCTCGTTCTGCCATACAAAGACAAGTCTGTGTTAGATGATGCCGCTAACCTTTTGATCCATCATGTCAAACGGCAAACCGCTGTTCATAAAGAAGATAAACAACGGATAAAACTTTTATTAAAACATTTTATACCTGATCTCTTTTTCCATCCACGACAAGAACTTAGCGATGACGAAAGAGATGAAGATGGTAAATACCTACTTCATAATATTGTTACGTCATGATGATTAGCAATGATTATATACGATGTAAATCACATATCCTTTGCTTTTGTTCCCCTACAGATGAGAAGGAAGATGTGAACATGGCAACGTGCAATAATTCTCAATCTACGACGACTACCTCGTCGTTGAGCGGTTTGCAAGCTAACAGGAGTAAGGCTCCTGCATCGCCAAATACGTCTTCCATCACCAGCAAAAGCGAAACCGACGTCAAAGTGCCCTTGCATGCTCTCTCAAGCGATCCTGAAGAAGCATATACACTTTTCATGGGCAGTAATAATTGGTATCTCTTCCTGAGGTTGCATCATATACTTTGTGAGAGATTAACAAAAATGTATGATAGAGCGGTTGCTCTCGCTGAAGAGGAGTCCAAATATAAACAGCAACGCAAAGAAAGTACAGCAGTCGCTTTAAGATTAAAACCGAAAAGTAAGTAATTCCTTTGTTATGCGCAAGATCAATTGCCTTGTCGATTCGCTATCACACTCATTGTCGATACGCTTGATACGTAGGTGAAATTGAAATTGAAGATTATTATCCTGCTTTTCTGGATATGGTCAAAAATGTGCTCGACGGAAATATGGAAAGCACGGCATATGAAGACACGCTGCGAGAAATGTTTGGTATACATGCCTATATTGCCTTCACTCTTGACAAAGTCGTTAATTACGCTGTTAGGCAAGTAAGTAAATGCGTTAGATTATTTTTCGGATATCGTAAGAGAAATAGCAAGTATGTGTAAAATCACGTGTGTTTCTCTGACAGTTGCAGCATTTAGTCTCGGATTCCGTTTGTCAACAATGCATGGATTTATTTCAAAAGGAGCAACGTCAATCTAAAGAAAATAACGGAGCTGGTGGATTATGCGCCACAGCGTACATGAGATTAAGCGCTGAATTATCGTATCAACGCAAGGCGGAAAAGGCAATGGCAGACGAAAACTGTTTCAAAATATACATAGTGAGTAATCATTTAAAATGTTAGCTTCGTCAATTTGCGTATCGATTTCGATTTTATCCTTGGTATTAATATCCGTCATTAACACACTAATCGATGCACATCAAGACATACTTTTACTTCCTCGATATACACGGTGTTCATAAGTAAAGTACTCGATCAGAGTACTTTACTAATCTTTCAGGGAATAAGCACGAAAATAAGAATGCGTAAAAGTTTAGAAAATCTTTTAAAAACACCGCGTATATCGCAATTATACACGCGCGATACACCGTGTCGTAAGTGAAACTAATATATTTTATATAATCATCGATAATGACATATTTTACTAAACGCTTTTATTCTAACTAAACACTGATTGCAAGCTTTTAAACTCCGCTTTTTATTTCAGTATAAAAAGGACTGTAAAATGACGATGGAGTTGTTAGATACAGAAGGCGACGAAACGGTGGATGGCGGCTGTAGAGAGAGAGAAAGGGAAGGTGTCACAGTTTCTGAAAAATGGTCGACATACATTGAGAGATTTTCTGCACCAGCTGATCAGACTAGTCCAAAAGACACTCCTGCCTTAACAGAGAACGAGCAGCCTACCAATCATCCTGTGAGTAGCGACCAGGCAGCAAGGGGGGGAAGGGGCAGAAAACGCAAGAACACTGACTTTAGCAAGAAGGTATAGGATCCAAATACCTTTTCATAATCATTGTCCACTTAACGTTCATTCGCGTAATTGACAGCTGTGATTATAAAGTGTTGTACGCTTTATCGTTTTTATTTGACGTACAACGATAGTGCCCCAAAGAGTAAAAGTTGAAGGTTCGATGGAACTTTCTTCTACCAAAAGTAGAACTTATTTGAACTAATAAATTAAATTAGTGGGGGGAAGTGATCTTTTTATTAACAAATTTCGTTGTAGTAGAAACGCGCCTGTGTACACGCACGCATACACGCGCGCGCGCGCGCGCATACACATACACACGCGCGTGCGCGCGCAAACGCATACGAGTATATCAGTTGAAATTAATCTACGAGAATAAACAATTATATGGATGCATATGATGGATTATACACGCTTTATGCGTACCACTAAAATATATTAATCCGTCAATTCCATATATCATCAGTGTTGTTGTCAATCATCAAATTTCTGTACATTTATACAATGGTCTAATATTTTTTTTATACATGTATAAAATAGCGCAAAAGAATTTACATACTATTATATTTTACTTGAGTCTTACAAGTAACATATTAAACCGTTCCTCCGACCATAATTATTTGTGTGGTGCTACAAATTACATGAAATTTTCTGACGTATTATTACAGCGCATCTCTTTTTCTAATTGCAAATATTACTCTTTATTCAAGTGTTTTATTTATGACATGCAAAATATAGCAAACACTATTATTATTATTATTAATATACATATTAGTATGTGTGTATGTGTATGCGTTGTGTGT